TGGCAGTGGTTTCATATATTTGCCGAAGATTCCTCGGCATCGTTCGTTGACTGAGCTCCGGCGTCAGGCTGTGACACGGGAGATGTCGTGGCGCTTGACGGAGGAGCATGAGAGCGTTCACTGCGGATACATCACTCATCAGGCAGCTCCTGGTTCGAGCAGGAGTCACATCACTGGATTGCATCCTGGAGTATTGGGATTAGATGCACCGCCACGTAACGAGCTTCTTGCCGCTGCTTCTACTTTGAAGAATCGCCTTGCTGCTTTAGGACGGGAGATGCCTGCGACACGCCACTGTTCGCGTGGAAAACTGTTTTCTTTTTCATTGATATGATTGTCATCTTGGATTACAAAGATCCGGTCTTTTATAGATCCGGTTACAACTAAATCAAAGAAAAAAAAAATAAAAATTATAACTTTCCTCTTGTGAACAAATCGCGAGATCCTGTTTTGCGGTCTCTCGCTTTGGTGGGTTCTTTGCCGACGCCGGGGTTAATCCGTGGACCACCGCGCGATTTAGATCCGGTCGGATCTACACGATTATACGGGTATTATTCCACGAAGGGAATAATAGCCGGGAGGGATTAATCCACCAAGGGAATAATCGCTCGGATCTCGAGATCTAAGACCAAGCTTAGATCTGGAGTATGACCTCGTGTAGATCTCAGATCTGTTCTTTCTTCCTCTCGAGATCCTGCCTTTTCTGACGTGGATGGTCGCCGAGGATCAGATCTGTACGTCCAAGTCTTCAAGTCTTCAAAACTCTGAGTTTGCTCTTCAATCCGGCAGAGTTTCGGCTCTTGAAAGTTCGACCTCCTAAAATGAACATCTCTAGGCCTATTTATAGGCTCTCAGGACAGTGCCCGCAAAAAGAGAAATGTCGGCCACCGTCGGCCACTGTCGGCCACCTCTGGGTGGCCGACACTTAAGCCGAGCCCCCTTAGGTGTGGGTTTTCCGAGTTTTTGAGTTGTGTCCGTTTTCCGGTTTTGTCCGTGATTCGGTTGATTGAGACTCTGATTGGTTGATCTGATTTGACAGTAAGTCGGATTCCTGATTTGGCAGTAAATCCGCTTCTGAGTTCGAGTCTGAAACTGATCTTGATTCGATCGTGATTCGTCCGAGTCTATTCTCGGTTGGATGACTCGTTGATTCCTTAACTCGTTAGCTTAATTCTGCACGCGGGTGGATTCATTCCGTTGTTCGCGTGCGATTTGTCGATCTCGTCGCCTCGTTGGTTCGTCGGTTTATGCCGAACTGTGCTAAGGGACCTATAAGCAATTTTATATGCCTACACCCACCTTAAATAAAGTTTCGTCCTTGAAGCATTACGTACCTTGATTCTCAAAAGGTTGAGGATTCTTCTGCCGCATCTCATCTTCAAGTTCCCACATTGCTTCTCTTGCAGAGTGATTCTTCCATTGAACCTTCATATATCGAATAGAATGTCTCCTAAGCACTTGTTCCGTATGATCTACAATACATTCCGGGTGCTACTCATATGTTAAGTCTTCCTTTAGCCCAATGGGTTCTAGTTCTATAACTTAATCTGGATCTCGAATAAAATTCCTTAGCATAGATACGTGAAACACATTATGGACTCCGACCAAAGAAGGCGGTAAAGCAAGCCTATAAGCGACTTCACCAACACGCTGAAGAATTTCAAACGGTCCCACAAATATTGGACTCAGCTCAGCTTTGCTCATATTCCAAATCTTTTCACACCTCTTCTAAGGGACACCTTTAAAAATACATGATCACCTTCTTGAAATTCTATGTCTCTTTTCCTCCGATCAACATAACTCTTCTGTCTACTTTGTGCATTTCGGATATGCTCTCTTTTAAGTAAATCTTGTCTATAGGTTGTTGCACTAACTCAGGTCCAAGAAGTTTTCTTTCTCCAACATCGTCCTAATATATTGGTGAACGACATTTCCTTCCGTATAGAGCCTCATACGGTGCCATCTTAATGCTTGGCTGGTAACTATTGTTATATGCAAACTCTGCCAATGGTAAATGCTCCTCCCATGATCCTTTCAAATCAAGGATACAACATCTTAACATTTCCTCGAGAGTTGAATTATTCTCTCTAATTGGCCATCTGTTTGTGGATGAAAAACTAAGCTAAAACAAAGTTTACTTTGAAGAACTTTATGCACACATTTCTAATACTCCGATACAAATCTAGGATCTCTATCAAATACTTTCTCCACTGGAACACCATGAAGCCCAACCACTTCAGTAATGTACAACTTTGCAAGCTTTTTCAATGAGAACTTCATATTGATTAGCAAGAAGTGAGCCGATTTAGTCAGACTGTCCACTATGAGTTGTTACCTCTTGTAGATCATGGTAATCATGTGATAAAATCCATTGTAATTTTCTCCCACTTCCACATTGGTATGTCGAGATTTTGGGTTAATCCAGCTGGTCTCTGATGCTCTGCTTTTACCTGCTGACATATTTCACACTCTGAAACATATTTGCAAATAATTCTCTTCATGTTATTCCACCAGTATATCTCCTACAAATCTTTGTACATTTTGGTCGCACCAGGATGCATTGTATATCTAGAACAATGAGCCTCCTTCAAAACCTTCTTCTTTAATTCTGGATTATTCGGAACATAGAATCAATTTCTGAACCTAAGGGATCTGTCACCGTGTATTACAAAATCTGGTTGTTTGTCATCTTCCACTCCTTTTCTATGGCTTTCAAATTCAAGTCATCTTTTTGGGTGATCTTAATCTCATAAACCAGAGCAGGCTGTACCTAGATGTTATTCAATTCGGCCGATGGTTGTTGACATCGGATCTCAATTCTCAACCAATCTAAATCTTCTAATATATGCCTTTGTCGAGTAATGAGACAAGCTATATTTCTCTTTCGACTAAGTGCATCAGCAACTACATTTGCTCTCCCCGTGTGATAATTAATACTAAAATCATAATCTTTAAATAGCTCTAACCATCTCATTTGCCTCATGTTCAACTATTTTTGAGTAAAAATATATTTTAAACTCTTGTAATCAGTAAAAGTTTTACAACGCACCCCATAAAGATAATGTCTCCAAATTTTTTTAAGGCAAAAATAACAGCCACAACTGTAAATCATGTGTTGGATAATTTTGCTCATAACGTTTCAATCCACTTTTCCATTTTGCATGAGCATGCATCCCAAACCTTTATGAGAGGCATCATCTCATAACGTTTCAATCCACTTTTCCATTTTGCATGAGCATGCATCCCAAACCTTTATGAGAGGCATCACTGTATAAAGTAAAATCTTCTCCTTCCATTTTGCATGAGCATGCATCCCAAACCTTTATGAGAGGCATCACTGTATAAAGTAAAATCTTCTCCTGTAATTGGAATAGTGAAAATTGGTGCAGATACTAGTCTGTTCTCTAACTCTTGAAAACTCATTTCATATACTTCAAACCAAACAATTTTGATTCGCTTTTGAGACAAACATGTCATAGGTGAGGCAATACGAGAAAATCCTTCTACAAACCTCCGATAATAACCCGCTATGCTAAGAAAGATGCGGATTTCATGAACAATTGTTGATCTTTTCCAATTCACAACTGCTTTAATTTTTGTTGGATCTACTGAGACTCCATCCTTCGAAATAACATGTCCTAGAAAAAACATATTATATAACCAAAACTCGCACTTCTTAAATTTTGCAAAGAGTTTTTCCTTTCTTAAAACACCAAGCACACAACGTAGATGTTCATCATGCTCATTCTGGTTCTTCAAATATATCAAGATATCATCTATAAATATCACCACAAAATGATCTAAGAAGGGCTTGAACACCCTATTCATGAGATCCATGAAGAATCTAGGTGCATTCGTTAACCCGAATGGTAACACAAGAAATTTATAATGACCGTAACGGGTATGAAATGTAGTCTTTGGAATGTTTTCAGCCTTAATCTTCAATTGATGATAGTCCGATCGTGGAGAACACCTGAGCTCCTTGCAATTGGTCGAACAAATCATCAATTCTTGGTGAGGGATATTTATTCCATATAGTCACCTTATTGAGCTCTCGATAATCAATACATAACCGCATGCTACCATCTTTCTTCTTCACAAATAACTCCGGTGCACCTTCAAGGTGAAACAATGGGTCTAATAAACCCTATATCTAGAAGTTCTTGCAACTACTCCTTAAATTCTCTTAGCTCTGCTAGAGCCATTCTATAATAGGCCTTTGAGATCGGACTTGTGTCTGGAACTAATTCAAAAAAAATTTATATTTCCCTATCGGGTGGCATTCTGGGGAGATCTTTTGGAAATACATCAAGAAATTCACGCACGATAGGAATTTGATCCAGACTAACTTCTTTCTGGCTTAAAACTTGCACTGATGCTAGAAAACCAGTGCACCCGCTTCTCAACATGCGATGAGCTTGATTAGCTGATATAATGTGCATAGGTTTTTGCACCTTACTTCCCTCAAATCAAAACTCCGATTGATCGGGAATTTTAAACACCACTATTTTCTCTTGGCATAAAATATATGCATGATTTCTAGATAACCAATCCATTCCTAGAATGATGTCATAATCATGCATATTAAGGATGATCAGTTCCGCTGGAAGTTCCATATCCACTATTTTTATCTTACATTTGCAATACTTATTTGATATTAGTATATTATCTCCTGGTGTGCTAACATACATTTCATGTTCTAGTGCATCACATGGCAACCCTTGCTTCCTAACAAATTGTGTAGCAATAAAAGAATGCGAAGCTCCAAAATCAAATAGAAGTCGAGCAAAAGTAGAAAATATAGGTATAGTACCTGACACCACATCATTATTTGCCAGAGCCTCTAGCTCAGTTAGAGAGTAAACTCGAGCCTTTACCTGAGGATGCTGATCACGTTGAGGTGTATTATGACCCAGAGTTTCATTCAACTTAGGACAATCTGCAATCTTGTTATCCTTTTGGCCACACCTTAGAAAAGCACCTGTAACTCTCCCACAATTCTTCGCTTCATGATTAGACTTGTCACATATGGTGCATCTCATCGACATCTAGTTCATAGTCTGCTTTCCTTTTGAATCCACATTTTGTCTCTTATTTTGCCAGTTCTTGTTATGACCTCCACGTCCATCCGATTTGAATCTCTTCTTTATATCATCATTCTTGTGATCATTAACCGATAAAATTTCTTTTCGTTCCTTTTCAATCACTAAAGCTTTCTTCAATATCGCTGCATAAAGGGAGAGTTCAAATGAGCTCACTTGAAACCTTATCTTGGTTTGCAGACCCTCCTCAAAACGATGCGCTCTATCTTCTTTAGTTGCAACAAACTGGGGTGCAAATTTGGATAGATAGGTAAATTCATCCTCATACTCAACCACAGTCTTATCATTTTGCTTCAGCTCACGGAATTCCTTCTCCTTCTACAGGCGAACAATCTTTAGAAAGTATTTATCATATAATACTTTCTTAAATTCTTCCCAAGATATTTGGTCAGCACCATCTCCTAGAATTCTCTCCTGCATTTGCCACCAGCCATATGCACGTCCGTTTAACATATATATCGCAAAAGCCACTTTTTCTCCATCAGGACACTTCATATAAATAAGACTTTCTCCATCTCTGTGATCCAGTCTTCAGCTACCATAGGATCAATACTTCCTTCGAAGGTAGGTGGTGTCAACCTCTTAAACTCCGCCATACCACTTCGTAATCGAGGATGATCAATGTCTCGAGATTCTTGCTATTTGTTAAGTTGTTGCTGCTGATTTTGCATCACATTACTGAGATTTTGCATCATTTGCAACATAGTATTGGCATCTATTTGATTTTCTCCGAAACTAGATCCAAGTACATTTCTACCACCAAATATTTGCCCCAAAGTCTGGTGCAAATCACTTTCTCGAGTTGAAGTAGTGTTCGTGCTATTCCTAGTCATCTAGTTATAAAGAAAACAAACAATATATCAATAATCCCTAAAAACAATTCTAAATTTTATTTCTAAGCACTACTATCTATAGACTTCTAAGCCTAGTACTTCTAAACCTAGGCTCTGATACCACCACTTGTCACACCCCTAAAATACACAGGATATTTTAAGATGCATGACAACGGCACCACGTACACAAAGTACATGCTAAGCCTGCGGTGCACTTCCATAATATAATAAACATCATTTTAAAAAAAAATATTGACAAATAGAGAAGTCTCAGAGCAAAACATTATAACAAGTTCACTCCAATGAGTCAAAAGATTCTTAATACATATGCATAGTAGCAAGACCAGTATAACTTTAACTTTCAACATCAAACACCATAAAAGATCCTTCTCATGTTCCAAAGCTCTAAGATACAGATAAAGCTGTCTAATTTTCATTTGAAAAAGATTGAAAAACAACGGGGTGAGTTTACACTCGGGTGCTACTCATTGTGACG